TTAAGTCATCGAAGGAGTAATCTGCCAACAAGTGTGAAGATTTTAACCATGAAATAGTCCTTGTCAATATGCACTCCTTGATTTCAGCGAGACTTCTTTCATGTTCTTGAAATATTCTAGCATTTCTCTCCTCCCATACAGTCCACAACGTAGAAGCTCTGATACATTTCCACATTAGCTTCCCTCCTTTTGTCAATCTCCCAAAAGCAACCGGAGTGAACAGCAACTTTACTTCAGAGGGCAAATTCCACCTGCACCCAAATAATGAAACAACCCAATTCCCACCTGCAACTTGATGAAGCACTTCTTTTCCTCTAACAAGTAACAAGTGGCATACCACTATCTAATTTGAAAAAATTTTCTTGTCATTATGATGAAACATCTTTTTATTCTACTTATTTCACTCTATTTGTTAGTTCTGTCTATACTGTTAATGTATGACTAATAAATCAAGAACATCTCTTGTGAACTTGTTAATGGTACAAGTGTGCCTTGATATGATTCTGACCCGGATACTCCACTTCTGGCTAGCCAACTGTCTAACAAGTTAACAGATGTCTGAGTTCAGCCGAACTAAATGTGATGAAGTGGCTGACTGTATAATAGAATGTCTTTCTTCTTTTTTTTTTAAATCTGGAACAAAAACATTTTATTTATTATGAATCATGAATAGGCTGTATTGTGTTCCACATCAGCTTTATATTGAAGATTTGAAGGATTGAAAACCAAGGCTTCCTTTGGTTGATGACAGCACTTTTTTCCATGTCCACGTGCCCTATCTCAAATATGATTCTTGAGATTCAACCTACATGTTGTACGTATATGCACTTAAATACAGCAATGATGTGTCTGATGCCATTCATGTGTCTCAAATATGATTCTTGAGATTCAACCTACATGTTGTAGGTATATGCACTTAAATGCAGATATAATGTGCCTGACATCATTCAACCAGTTACATGGAATTCGGAAAGCTTCTCCAACCAGTATATCATGCCTTAAAGACTCGGAAAAGTGCACCAATCTATCATGGGTGGATAGTTTCAGAGATTTGAGGACCTGAATGTGCTCCAAGGAACGGAAGCAAAAGCAAATTATATAATTTAGAGGTGAAGTGGAAGTAAGGGTACCCTCCAATGTAGAAAGGAATAGTTTGCATTGCATAAAAACCAAAGATAAACTACGTTGGAAAGCAGGCAGCACCTATAGCATTTAGCCCCAACTTTCTTTATGATAAAATAAGGTAGAATCTTACTAGAACCAGAATGAAGAAGCCCCAATTCGTTTTAGTTGTAAAGCATGGTACTTTGTACAGAATAGAAAAGCAAAATACAGATTGGAGAAATAAGAAACTTACCCTAACAAAATCAAAGTAATTGATATCTTTGAAATCTAGCAAACCAGATATCCAGTGCAAAGTCCACCGTTAGAATATATAAGCGATAGATACAGGTAGAGTGACAACTGACAAAGTAGTTGTTACTTTATCAATATTATTTAATGTGGTAGATTCGGAACTATGTAAGCTTCCCTAACTATCTAAATTGTTTGTTACAATGTTCCGAGTTTATCAATAGATAGAGAAACCAGTTTGAAAGATATAAAGCCCTTGTGACAAGCTTTAAAAGCAAATAACTTTGGCACAAGCATGGAACATGACAAAGGACTACCACTGAAACCCTAAAAGCAATAAGCTTTGGGACAAATAAAACACAGAACAAAGCAGCAAATTTAGATAGAACCTGCAAATAGTCGAGGCCGCCATTAGAAGGACTCCACTTGGAGAAAGCCTTCCAGTCTTTGGTGCAGCCATGAAATACCTATTGAGATAATAAGAATGAAAGATATCATCAAAAAATATATAATAAAAATGAAAAATGCCAAGGAAAGCTTAGAAAGAGGGAGGGAGGGAGATAGGTTGGCGGTTGCGAGGAAACACGAAACAGAACACAAAAAAGGCAAATTTTCATTACAGCAGGGACATTTCTCGGTTCAATCTGAGATGCGAAAACCTCAGGCGAAGGAAGTTCGTCAAATCTTCGGATTTGCAGATGTTCATCCATTTGTTCTTTATTCAGCAGTTACCAAATGAACAAGAAATGAAGAGTTTGCAAGCTTAAGAACTGGGGCTGGAGTCCGCCGCAAGTCCGCGAGGTCGGGTTTGGTCCATCCTGACATCCAACCGAATCCCAGATCTCGTTGGATCTCGTTGGATCGGGTTCGAGTATGAAAAACAAAAAGACCTCCGAAAAAGCTCTAGAAGCATTTAGTAGAAAATTTGCTTTTTCACTTTTGCAAATTTCTTAACGGAAAATACGGAAACACACGATGCAGAATTATGAATTCCAGCCCCCCCTACAACTAGCCCTCTCCCCCTATAAATCACATCCTGCCCATGAATTTGGCATCAATTCCCGGTCAAGATGCACTCCCCCTGTACTTTGAGTCTAGAAAATTCTGATCTGAGCTATTGGAGTAATTTGGTAATCTAAATGTTGTAATATCTGAAAAGTATATATTTTACAAAGGAAAAGTTTCTAATTAGTACTTTGTACTTTCCACTTTGATCATCAAACTTTAAAATACGACAATATCTTAACTTTTAAAATTTGACAATCCAATACTTACTCTTAACTAACTATTAATTAGTCATTAAGTGGTATTTGAAAAAGACACAAATTCCATTTGAGTGTCATCTAATTTTTCTTATCAATCATCCAAACATTGACAAAAAAAAATTAACAATCTCAAATCCTTTCCTCTTCTATTCAAGAAAGTTGGGATCACCAAAATGCTCACTCAAATGTGACCCTAATTTTCTTGAATGAAAAAGGCAAAGATTTGGGATTATTAATTTTTTGACAATGTTTAGATTGTTGATAAAGATAATTATATAACACTTGAAGGACATTTGTGTTTTTCAAATGCCACTTAACGGCTAATTAACAACTAGTTAACAATAGGTACTGAATTGTCACATTTTAAAAGTTTGGGTATTAAATTGTCGCATTTTAAAGTTTGGGGACCAAAGTAGCACTAGGCCCAAAGTACAAGTATTAGTCGGGAATTTTCCCTTTCACAAATTTATCCCTTAAAGTTATTATTTAAATAAAATGATTAAAATACACAATTAAATAGTAATAAATAAGATTAATATTATAAAAATAATAAAATATTAATAAACAATATTATTGCAAATAATATAAAATAAGTATACAATATAATACTTTTAATAATATAATAATACCAATAAAAAATAATGTAAGATAGAAAATTTTCCTTTATTATTTAAAAATCATAAAATATTAAAAAAAATCTTAACCAATAAATAAAAAAATATATATTAAATATACTATCAAGGATAATTAAAATAGTACAACTATTTTAATAAAATAATTAAACACCAAAATAAATACAAAATATTAAATGGGGTTTAACAGCGAACAAAACAATCGGCGAAGAAGGAAAACAGGGGTTGAGATATATTACTTTTTATTAATTTTTGAAAGGGCACACTTAAAGATAAGAGAAATTTTCTCTCAAAACAAAATCTGTTCAGGGGGCACACCTGCTATGCTTCGCGAGCGGCGACGTTAAGAACAACGCCACTGCTTCTCCTCCCCATCTTCACTTCTCTCCATTTGCTTTCCCTCTTTCTCGTTCTCCCTCCTCCTCCTTTTATTTCATTATATTTTTTTTCTTCTCCATCCCTGTTATAGAGAACAAAAACAATCAAGAAGAAGAAGAAGATATGGGAGAACGGTCGGAAACCCTATTACGCTCTTACAGAGGACAATTGGCAATTCTGAGGTGGTGTTCGGTAGCGCTGAATCGGCGATCCTAGTTCATCGATCCTCTGTTCACCGTAGCGGCTAGAAAGAAGAAGAGATGGGGAACGGTCAGGATCCCTATTACGCTCTTACAGAGGACAATTGGCAATCTTGTTACACCACTCCTCTGTTCACCACAGTTGATTCCTGTTAGACGATCCCTGTTACAGAAGAATACGGTGGAGGGAGGAACAAAGGAGAAAGGGAGGAGGGAAGAAGAACAGGAGAACGAAAATATAAATGGGCATTTTGGGGAACAAAATATCATCCGCTACCTCTGAGGCCTGAGCGCGTTCTGAGGTAGGACTTAGGAGATCCGCTGAACGATTCGGGGGAATTTTCAGATTTCAAAGGTTGAGTTTGGAGGTGCTGCTGAACGACCTGAAAAGCAAAAATTTCGATGTTCAGAGGTCGATTCAGCGCTACCGAACACCAGCTTAGACCACTAAATTGTTTAGACATGCCCAATTGCCCATCAACCGTCGGAACCGTCTCTCATCCGAAATCGGATTCAGTCAGTCACTCTCGTCCAACTCCTACTCAAGATATATATAGGGCCCATTTGTGGTTGGAAGAGCTTTGGTTGAGTCCAGGGCTGTCAATCTCAATGGGTCAGTTTTATCCGATCAAACCAAACTATGATTTTGTCCTAATTAATAATAATAAGTGGGCTGATTCAGGTTATTCAGTTAATAATGTATATGTGTTTCTTAGTTTTCTTATAATTTTTGTTATATTTTATGTTTAAAAGGATTAATTTAATAGATAATATATAAAATAATTTTCGTTAAAAACACTTGATTTATTAACATATATACATAATATTATATATATATAATCAAGTTTAATTGGGTCAGTCCCACTTACCCCAATTAGTAATTGGGACTAATGAGGATCAAAAGTGTTGATCCATGGCACTGATGACCTCGAACTCGAAGCAGACTCTAGTAGTGAGAACTGCAAAATTAGTGAACTAGAGGGCCCGGGAGGATGTCCCGAGTTATGGACTCCAACGATTAAGTCGATAGGTGTCAAGTTGTTAGAGGTAAGAAAGGAAGCAGGAACAAGAATCAAAGTGTACGAGGTGATTGAGATGGTGGCAACATTACCTTTATTAAGGGCTTGTGGCTTGGCTTGAACGTGTTGTGAAGGGTAAGCTATGTGGTCTGTCTTAGTGGGCACGTCTAGGCAATTGATGGTGGCACGTCTACTGTTTACAGGGCACCGCTTGTGCCTGTGATCTATGGGCATCTTAAATCCACTTCCTTGCCTAATGGGGAAGTGGGTCTTTAGCACTACCAGGTTGTCACAAGTGACCAATTTCCCGCGCCACCAAGTGCCTTCATCATACTTACAACATGTCATCCGAGTGTCCAAGTGTATATCTTGGGTGAGGTATTGCATGTATTTTGTATGAAATAATGCCAATGGCATTATTGTAATTCTGTAGTATGATTTTTCACATTTTTTATGTTTTTTATTGTCACTCCCCCAAAAGCTTAACGTACTCTTTGAGGGGAGGTAGGTAGTCGAGTGAACCAAGAGCATGTAAAGGTTAAGCATGAGATCCCTCAACATTGAACTGTGCGTTTATGCTTGTCATCCATTATTGCAATACAAATAGCCTTTTGACTATTCTATGTGCCATATTTGTTGCATTTTCTTGTGTTGTTGCTTGTTGCGTAGGCTTACTCGTCACATTCGAGTGCCGCACAGGGCCCCATTGATTAGCCCCGTGACAATTGGTATCAAAGCAGGAGCCCCTACACGCGCATTGGACCCTGTCAACCGCCCTTAATTTAGCACAATGAAGAGCAACCGCGACATTGACGATGACACACTACACGGGCTGCACCACGCCCATGACACCAATGAGGCTCCACTCGACGAACCCACCAAGACACAAGCCCCAAAGGGCTGCACAACTAAAGCTAACAAGCATGACAAATCAGTCAACCAACTAGCTAGCATGGACATGTGTCTCCTATGTTGCGAGGCAACAATAGGTGAAACCCGAGATCAGGTCGACGAACTCCACCTCAACCTAGAAACTGTTGAGAACGCGGTGATGGAACTAGAAGGGTGATTCAATGGCGCCTTCAGAGATATGCACACCACCCTAGAAAGCTCGGGAGCATGGCATTCCCAAAGTAGCTTGCAAGGCTTGCTGGATAGATTTCAAGCGCAATTGGACGAGATGAGAGACAAAATGACTCTCCTAAAAAGGGCGATGGCCAATTCTTCTAGCACTCCCTCCACCCTAGCTCCCATGCACATCAAAATCCGTGAGCCAACACCTTACTCGAGTTCTCGGGATGCTAGGAAGCTTGACAATTTCTTGTGGCAATTGGAGTAATATTTCTCTGCCACTGGCATCATGGACAACCAAACTTAGGTACGCACTACCGCTATGTATTTGACAGATATTGCAATGTTATGGTGGCGTAGGTGTTGCCAAGACATTGAATGTGGCACCCACACCATTAACACCTGGGCTGGATTCAAACATGAGATCAAGCACTAGTTCTACCTCGAGAATGTGGAGTGCCTGGCGCATAGAAGAATGAAGAACCTGAGACATCAAGAACCGCTTCATGACTACGTCAAATAATCTCGGCCTTGACTCTTGAGATCTCTGACATGTCAAACAAGGACCTTTTGTTTAATTTCATGGATGGTCTCAAGCCATGGGCTGAGCTTGAACTTCAACGATGCGGGGTGAAGAACCTCGCCACTGCCATGGCTGTAGCTGAGTAGCTTGTTGATCTAAGGACACCTAATGAAGAAGAGCAAAAGCCATCTAGCCCACGTACCATGAGTTTGAGTGGGGGAGATCAGCAATCAACCTCTACACAGAAGAAACCAGTGCACTCGGACAAGCCCAACAATTACCAACAAGGGAAGAAGCCACAAGGAGCCCAAAGCTATCAGGGCCACCGGTACACTAGGAGACCCACCACACCTCAAGCGCCTTGCTTCATATGTAATGAAATGCATTGGGCAAGTGACTGCCCAACACGGAAGAAAATCAATGCCCTCATTGCCAAACTCAGTGACAGTGAGGAGAGTGATGAAGAGAAACCTACACAAGCGCCAAGAGTAGGCGCTCTCCAAATCATAAATGTCATGGTAAAGAAAGAGGCCACATCCAAACGACCCGCCAAAGCCCACAAGGGGTTGATATATGTAGACACCCTCAGCGGGAGGTCGACCCAAGCATTGGTGGACACTGGGGTCACCCACAACTTCATCTTGCTTGCAGAGGCAAAGCGACTCAACTTGACCATGACCAAACAAACAGGGTGGATCAAGAACATCAACTCAGGGGCTAAGGTAGTAGAAGGCATGGCCCGTGGAGTAAACTTACAAGTGGGACCATGGAAAGGAAAAATCAACTTATTTGTGGTTCCCTTGGATGATTTTCAAGTTGTCCTTGGAGTGGAGTTCCTGACACAGGCAGAAGCAGCTCTTATGCCACACCTTGACACCTTATTCATCTTGGACGAGCATTCTCCATGCATGGTCCTAGTGATATCAGCTCTCAAGGTACATGGGAAGTAGTTTTCAGCCCTACAATGGTACCAAGAAACAAGCGACAACAAAGCCAACGCCATGCCAACAAGGAAGATCCCCACTACAACATCACACCTCAGCAATGGAACAGGTTGGGAAGTCATCACCAGGAAGAAGTCTCCCCGAAGCTGTTCCATTTGTAACACCAGCGCACGCGTCAGCAACAACATCAACAGAAGTCGCATGCGCTCGCAACTGATGGGCCCAAGAGAAGACCCAAGGCCAACTCCAACACCCATTTTACCTACCATAATGGGAAGAGAGTGCCACCCCAATTCGATAGGAACCTTTCCCTCGGCCTTCATCCAACCCATATAGTAGCCCAGTGAGAAGAGAACCTTGGGAAACACCCGTCCACATCGAACCCCCTCTTAATCCAAATTCACCTTTTGCACCAATCCTTCCCTTAGCTAGTAGTAGTGCAAGCCAACCTAGGCCTCGTTTGACATACCTTCAAGTCACTAGCCAAGGACTTAATCTAGCATCTAGCCTTAGGTCTCCCCAACACCACAAGAACCTTCAATCCCATCACCCAAGCATTTGCCCAGGCCTTGGAAGAAAAGAAGTTCGTGGAGCTGCTGAAGAATCCTTCACCAATATCAGTCTCACACCACAAGTAGAAGTTGGTCTTCGAGGACGAAGACCGAATTGAGTGGGGGAGACTGTCACAAGTGACCAATTTTCTGCGCCACCAAGTGCCTTCACCACACCCACAGCATGCCATCCGAGTGTCCAAGTGTGTGTCTTGGGTAGGGCATTGCATGTATTTTGTATGGGGGATTACCAATGGCATTACTGTAATTCTGTAGCATGATTTTTCACCTTTTTGATGTTTCTTATTGTCACTCCCCCAAAAGTTTAACGTACTCTTTGAGGGGAGGTAGGTAGTCGAGTGAATCAAGAGCATGTAAAGGTTAAGCATGAGATCCCCTCAACATTGAACTATGTGTTTATGCTTGCCATCCATTATTGCAATACAAATAGCCTTTCGACTAATCTGTGTGCCATCTTTGTTGCCTTTTCTTGTGTTGTTGCTTGTTGTTTAGGCTTACTCGTCACGTTCGAGTGCCGCATAGGGCCCCATCGACTAGCCCCATGACAAGGTGGCCCCACATTCGCATAAGGTATTGGTCGGCCCTTCCATGCTGACGGAATAAGGGGGAACTCGTCCTGCAAGTCAGAGGTGCACTAAGGTTGGTAATATTCGGTGGTAGCCCAAATTGGATGGACAAAGGTCGGGAGCGATCATCAAGAGTACATTCTTGGATTCACTCTAGGTCAAAGGATGAATGTTACTCAGACCTTACAGATCTAGCTATCAATAAAGATCCAAATTGCTATCTAAGTGCGAACCTACCACATGTGATAACAAGGTGTCATAAAGCGTTCATGTTACCATATGTCAAGATGTAATTGGAGGAGAAATCGTCCCTCAATATGGACGATTTATGGGTCTAAGATTTTGTCATGTTTAATAATTAACTCGGGATTAGTAAAAAAAGTAATTTCACTAGATTGATAGACTCGGGTCTAAGATTCTGTCATGTTACCAGATACCACCAATTGATAACCCTAATTGTATCGCTTTGAAGAAGCTACTAAAGAAAGTAATTTCACTAGAAAGCATTTGTCATGTGAGGTCCACTTCCTAGAGCCAGAAGTTGTGCATTAAAGGAGCTTAATCAAAAGAATCGGGATCTGTTTCTCATAGAGTGTGCCTCACAGTTACATCCAACCTTGTGTTGGGAACATCTCCATTAATAACAAATACATGTTCTCGATGTGCGGCTAGGACATTCTATAAGGTCGGTGTGAGGTGTGTTGTGTGAGAAGTAGATCCAGAGTTCCAGACTCCAATCAAATCTTCATTGAAAATTACTGGCTTTCTTTATTTAAGTTGTCTATAGGTTTAAGGAGGCGGATTAATGAGATTATTTTATGGGTAAATAGATCAAGTACTTTAACAAATTTTAATTTCCTTTGTCGGTGCCAAGGTTTTAAAAACCAACCCGGAAACAAAACCATTCTAGCCATTGATTTCTGGGTCAGCGAATTGACCATCCAAGTCAAACAGTTTGAACAGTTTAAATATTTTAGCAGGTGATATGTCATCTTACCATTAGATTGGAATATTAGGGTAAGATGCATATAAATATAAGAGAAATAAGGTTTGACTATTTGAAAATGAGAGAGATTTGAGAAGTTGTCGGCAGCTGAGAGAGTTTAGAAGAGAAAAAAGAGAGAGACAGAGAAGAAGAAGAAGAAGAAGAAGAAGAAGAAGAAGAAGGAAGAGGAGGAGAAGGAGGTCACTTGCAAGCTGCAGCGGCGATGATGATGACAACTTACAACGGTGATGGCAAACTATAGCGACAACAGTGGCGGCAATGGTGGCAAACTGGTGATGAAAGTAGATATGAGATTTCTCTTAGTCTCAAATCTCTCACACATAAACTCTCTCTCTCTCTCTCTATCTCTATCTCTCTCTATCAGATTTGTCGTTTAGACTGCTCTCCCAAATCGAGATCTCTCTTACTATCTCACATATCTCTCAGCTGATCTCTCTCTCCAATAGATCTCAAGTCTAAGAGAGATATTCTCTCATTTCATTCTTGTTCAAACTTGTCAAAAGTAATAAACCACGAACCATTCTCTGAGTCGAACACTTCAGCGGTTAAATCATTCAGGTCAACGGTTCATTGACTAATTCAGCAGTTTTTTACTAGGAACTGGGTTTGGGGTAAAATGGAATCAGTCACCTAAACAGTTTTCGGTCCAAACGGTCTGACCATCCGAATCAACGACAATTAAAAAACATTGATCGATGCTATTGTGTTGAAAGTACCTTGATGTTATTTGTTAGAAGAGAGGGGATTAAAGAAAAACCTAATTCATTAGTTTAACGAAGATGACAATGTGATTCATAGTTCCTGCACATACATCAGCGACTACTGCCGGACAAAAGCAAATAACGATAATGGAGTTATTTTCTTTGTTATGGATAATAACAATAATGGAGAGGTTGGGTGATGCTCATGATGTATACGTGGCACTTGTGATTAGCCTTTCAAAATCTTAGTTTCCACTTGAATAGGAAGGTAGTAGATGGTGAATACCGAACCACAACAATTTCCAGTGGCTCAATTCGCCGCATTTAAGCTAAGTTTGGAAGGAATATAAATACGAGGGTAAAATATAAAAACCTCTCCTGAAGTTTTTGATAATTATAAAAACCTCCCCTATAATTTAGCTTTAACAAAAACCTCCCTTCTATTTTTTAAAAAGTCAATAAAAACTTCTCTCCCATCAATGATCAAGACAAAACGTTAAACTGATGATAATTTTTTCAAAATACCTATTTTACTCTTGTATGAATTATTGTATACCTATTTTTACTAAAATACCCTTTTCCCAATCTGAAAAACAGCTTTTGCCAGCAGAAAAAAAAAAAAAAAAAAACCAACACTCGGTGACCGACACTCTCCATGTACTGAGGGTGAAACTCTGTTCCTCCGGTTTCCTGAAAATGACAAGGCGCTAGTACTTCTTAGAGCAGAACTTACCGAACATTGGAAACACCTCTGTATTTGTTTATTTTAATTCATGGAGAAATATTACTAATGCACGGCTGCAATGGGCTATTAGGACGGTGTGAGAAGAAGGGTTATGTTTGAATAAAATCTGTTTTCCATCGGAACAGACATCACTACATAGTGACCATGGATCTGGGGTACTATTTCCATACCTTACTGGCCATAGATATCAGCTCAAAGATTCCAATTTCTTCTCACAAAATTGGTCCTCACACAGCTATGCATTGGGAGAAAACATACAAGTACGAGGTGTTCCCGATGTGTAGCAGAAGGGCTGTAAGATGGATATAGAGATATTCTCGATCAATATGCGGCCGCAATGGCTGTGAGGACCAATTTTATAAGAAACAAATCCAAACAATAAGTTGGAAAACTGGCAGGCCAGTTCCACTCTAAATAGGCAACTCTTCAATCTTCATATGTTTCTGTCAGATTTTCCCTTGTTAACCGCAATGTGGTATTGCCGTAACCTGCATTGCAGGAAGAGGAGAAACAAAAGAGTTGAATACTAGGTTCTGATGAGATACTATCGGAATTCCCAATGTTCGGTAAGCTCTTCTCTATCGTTCACCCCAAGATGGAGGAATCTCTCTTCGGAGAACTTGGATCAAAGACGCCTAACTATGGCTAGAAACCACCCGAGGACCGAGTTCTATGGAGAGTTTTTGAGCCTAGCGAAGGCGGTTTGGCTGTTGCACTTGCTGGCTTTCGTACTCAAGCCCGCGCCGGAGGAACAGAGTTTCACCTCAGTACATGGAGAGTGTCGGTCGTCAACAGTCTATTTTTTCTTCAGCTGGCAAAAGCTCTTCAGATTGGGCAAAGAGTATTTTAGTGAAAATAGGTATATAATAACTCATATAGGGGTAAAAAATTATCATCAGTTTAACATTTTCCATCTTGATCATTAACCGAAGGAAGGTTTTGTCGATTTTTTTGAAAATAGAAGGTTTTGCTAGGGAGGTTTTTATGATTGTTAGAAATTTCAGAAGAAGTTTTTGTATTTTACCCTAAATACAAATATGTAGAGTGTAAAGCCTTACATTTTATATTATTTTTTGTATGCATTTATACTGTACATATTTGTCTGAGTACTTCCCAACGTAAGAAATCAAGAATACAATCTTATCAAGGAATTAAATCTGGCTTTGTCATGTTGATTCTCATAAATCATGTGTTGCCTTGACTGATGCAAACGTAAGTGTATACATTATTTAAGTGCAAATAGAAATATGTACAATGCAAATACAATACAAAATACAAAGCTTTCCGCTGTACATACTTGTATCTGTACTCTTCCTAAACTGAGCCCAAAGGAAATTGCTATTATCGCTCCACTTTTTCACATCAGGTGCTCTTTCACTTGTTTTATTTTGTAAGTTGGGTCTAAATAATCTCTGATGAACTGAATGATTTATTGTTTTGTCTTTTTAGGCTGTGTATGGTTTGAAGGAAAAGGTAAGGATTGGGAAACGTAACTGAGCGGATTAGCTGAATTTGATAGGTGTTTTACTAGCTGTAGGATCAACCATTTTGCTCAACACTATTGAATGATTGTGAGGAGATCACATCAGCACCCCACAGGGCGTGCCCCACATGCATATCTCAGCATGCATTGAAAACATCTCCCATACTTGTCATTGAGAGATGTTCCCAATACATGGTTGGGATGTGATGTTGGATGCCAATGTAAACTTGATTGTGGGCCATGTGCATTTTATGATGGGTATAGAGCAAAATGATTGGTCCCACAACCTGTAAAACAGGAAATCGGTTTTGGTCCTCACAAGACTGCCCACACCATTCGCATAGTCCCTTGCAACCTTGTGTTGGAAATATATCTCCATGAAAAAAAGCATACAAGTATGGAGATACTCCCAATGGAAGGCTATGCAAAAGTTGTGAGCACTGAAGCCAATCTATCAAATTCAGCCAATCCTTTCTCACTTCAGCTCCAGCTCTTAAACCGTGAAAGGAAACACGAATCTGGTTTGAGTATGCTCGAGTGGCCCTAGAAACGTTACCCCTGGTAGAATAAGTTCAAGAAAAGGGAGTTCAGTTTTTTACAGGACTTACTCTTTTTCCTTTTTAGCTATGCTGATTTTTCCATGACCTGGTCAACATGTTCTGTACTACTCTGTTCTCCAGTGAAAGGAAAGGATTTAAAAAAGTGCATGGTCATCTTACTAAAATTCAGTGAGGAACAAGAAGGCCGGATCACAACATTGTTCAGAATCTCGAGATATAAATTCAATTCTCAACGATAAATTTTCCATTGTCGTGAGCGGATTAACCCCAAAAGAGAAGAGAACTTACTAGATCTCATACTCTGAAAGCAAAGTAGACCTCTTACATGAATGACTTAACTAGTGATTTTGCAATCCTTTGCGGGAGTATCAGCAAACTTCCACGACCAGTGTAACATATTTTCATAGGTTCTTGCGCCTGCCACCTCATTGATAGGTATTGCATCAGAAATCTCTCTCAAATCTTCTTCAGTGAGTTTAACCACCACCGAGCCAATGTTTTGATCAAGGTTCTTAATTTTGGTTGTTCCTACAGAAATTCATATAGAGGATTAGAAATAATAGTTAATGCATTTGTATCAAGCTTTTGTGTTAACATCCTACCCAGACGAATACAATTACTACAGAACAATCTTTAGCAAATTCAGTTCAATCTAATTAACAGAAACTATAAGCTGCAAGAAGAGATCTGACAACTATTTGATCGTTAAAAGTTCAAATGAAATCATATTTTAGAATTGGCATCATGTATTAAAGCATTCTTTAATGCCAGTTCCTACTAATCATTCTGAAACATTGTAAACGGGAGGAAAAAAATGAAGAAAAAAAAAAGAAAATTGATGGAAGGAACTGAGCAAAGCATAAGCTGAAAATACTTGTTCAGGACATGTATTGTTAACATTAAATACAAGAAAGTTCAAACGGAAGCTCATATTATACATACATGTACAGTATTTACCTATTTACAATATAGGAAGTGGTTTTATTAGTTTTTTCCCTCCCGTGTATTACACTTTTAACATATATGGCGAATGCTGAATAAACAAGGAAATTTGATATAAATTGCTTGACTACAAGAATTTGTGCGTCATTCTGCTAGTCACATGACTTGGACCAAGCTTCAGTTTGAAACGTTAAAAGATAGCCACCAAGCATAAAATAATGTGGAAAATTGTTTCCAACCATATGATTTGCATAAAGAAGAAAAAATGCAAATGGCAGTGCTACTTAAATCATCTAGGTAACTGATGCAGGACCTTTGTGATTCAGCACTATTCTTGCAACTAAACTCAGGTTGTAGGTGTACAAAACAGAAACAAATATCAGATTAAAAGAAAGAAGAGAAAAGAAGAGAAGATGAAAGAAGATAACCCTAGGCAATCACACCTAAGGGTGAGGGAAATCACACCCCCAACTTGACAATCACACCAAATTCTATAGAGAAACCTTCTTTGTTCATCAGCCAAAGCTGTCTTTCCAAATGAGCCTTACAAGCTTAATAAGAAGCTTCCAAAGGAAGAAACTTGCCCCCCAAGTTAGCTTGCCCAAAAAGCCACTTACAAAAAGAAGCTAGATTAGACTAAACCTGCCCCAAACAATTACAAACATAAAGCCAAACAAAGGGAAATTATTGGACTAAGACCTGTTCCCAACACTAAACATGCAAAATTATAAAAACACCCTTGCTGTCCAGAAATGTAAGAAAACCAAATAAGTCCTGTCCAGCAACAAGCTCAACCACACAAAGAGCATCTTAAGGTGGATTGAAGACTCTAGGGTCTTCCCAAGTTGATGCACAGCTAACCCAGCACCCATGGGGGCCCCATGTCTTCATAATGATGCCAAATGAGCATAGGAGCAGCTTTGGTTCTCTTTTGATATGCCTTAGGTTGATCCCCATCAGTAACCAACTCAATCTGTGATTATGTAGAGGACAAGCTCTCTCTTATGCTAGATTATTACTAGTCAATTGGTATATGTCAAAGCCAGGAACATGATAAGGGAATGAAAATGATTGTTTATTGATATAAATAGAATCAATATAAGGGGAATCACAATTAAAATACATCTCTAATGAAGTTTGCAGCTGTGCTAGGATGAAAACCAATAAATGTTACTGGGACAGCTAGAAAGCAGGAAAGACAGTAATATTTATCTGTTTGCTGCATACAAAGTTACAAGAGCAAAGATACCAAAACAAGGAAGCAGGAAGCAAGTCTACTATCTGTTGTAATGTCATCTTAGATAACAGAAGATTGTACATCATAGAAAAACAAGTTACTGATCAGTCCCCTGGGATATTACTGATCTTGTATTTAGTGTACTGGCTAAGACAGCAGGCAGTGATTTGTAGCTGACTTCACAAGTCTAATCATCTAAGCTTTGTCCCAACCATTTGAGATCGGCTACATGATAACATGAATACTGTTTCACAAGTCAGGATCCATAACAAAAGAGTTTGGCAGAAGTTCTAATGCCAGCTGCCAACCTGACACAATCCTCCTCCTTTATCTGGGCTTGGGACCATAAGTGTGAAACAAACTCATACTTGCAGAGTTTGACTTCTCCAGTCTCAAAACCACAAAAAAAAAACGTTCTATAATCGGTTCCAATTTTATAAATTTATTATATATTTGAGAGCATCAAATATAGAGTTACAGACATTCTAAACCAAAGGGTCAGAATAGATCTCTAATCCCACTTTCTGAAGGAGGATTATCATTTCTTTTTAAGGAGATGATTCTCAATGGTAATGATAGTAACTTTTCTAATTTATAGAAAGGGGATGTTAGTAATAATATATCCTGGCATGAAGAAAACTTACTCACCAGGGATAGGGACAACATCATCCCCTTGGTGGAGAATCCATGCTAGTGCTAATTGAGCAGGAGTGCATCCATGCTTCACAGCCAAGTTTTCAAGCCGAGTGAAAAAGATTTTGTTCTTTTCGAAGTTCTCCCCCTTGAACCTAGGATGTGAGGGCTAATAACAGAACCATGTTCATCAGTTCACTGGGATTATCCATAAAGAAAGGGTTAAAATCTAAAATCATTCCCATCCTATAGAGTGTTCCTATGTGCAAATAAGAAGAAATAAAAAGATGGCCAAAATGCATGATCAAAACCATCTTCATACCAAGAAACTATTTGCAGGTAAACTTTCCACTACTGCCTTCCCAGCAAAGAAGCCCCGACCAAGAGGGCTGTATGGCACTATTCCAATGCCAAGTTCCCTGCAGAATAAAATGTAGCAAAGGGTATTACTTGCATATATTAGAATAAGATGGTAGAAACAAAATCAGATTGGCAAGATAGTGAAGGAAAATATACAGCAGACAATAGTTGAAGTCTATGATGTTTCACTTCCACAAGATAACAAACCATTCAGCATTCTAAATCAAGAGGAGAAAAACTAAGGAATTTAAACAATTGAACTCTTTAGAGATGTTTCTACAAATGACTTGTTATGGAAATGGACTGAAGTGGCACAAACAGATACACACAAAGAAGCAATGAGAATGAAATGGAAACCTCCAGGACCATAAATTTTGATGAGAGCTCTTCTGGCAATCCATTCCAGGAAGGGCAGGTATGGGGGGGAGGGGTTAGAAACCATCAAGGACGAATAGTGGCCTTGTTCTTGGGGTCAATTGGTTTTGGAACTCGGTTAAGGCTGAAATAATAGTCCTATTACAAGGACTAAAACTAGCAATACAGCTGGGTGGAGAGCTCGAAGTAGTGGGAGACTCCTTATTGGTCATTTCTTGGGAGAAACAAATCAACTCAGCCCCTTGGAATTATTGATTTTCCTTTAGGAAAATTGACTTTCTAGCAAAAAGTTATAACTCAGTTTTGGCTGGGTAAAAAGAACAGCAAATGGGTTGGCAGATGTCCTAGCAAAACAGGGAGCTGACAGATCCACATTATTTTGGGCAATATTGTAATCTGTGTTAGTAAAAAAAAGGGGGGATGGTAAACCAAAATAGGGTGGGCAAGCTGCTTTTCTGTTGAGTTTTTGGGCTACTGTGTAGCTACAACTTTGTACCTTTCTCAAGCATTAATTAATGAACTCATTTTGCTGATAAAAAAAAGAAAACAACTAAGGAATTTAAACTTGAAATCACCTTACATGAAAACATATATATACATGGGACAAGAACATAACAAATACTCCTTGAAATTAAATCGTTTGCCCAAAAGCTAGCTTTGCTCAATATGAAGATTTCTTAAGAAATTGAATTGGGATTTTACATATACCTGCAAAGTGGGATAATCTCTTCCTCAATTTCACGAGTCCAGAGAGACCACTCCATTTGTACAGCAGTTATGGGATGAACTGCATGTGCCCTCCTTATTGTGTCTGGACTAGCTTCAGACAACCCAACGTATTTTATCTTCCCCTCTTCCACCAACTTTTTAAGTTCCCCCATCTACCTCCTCAAAAAAAATATAATTTCAACTCCAGTTATCCAGAAAAGCATATTATCATTAACCAAGATTGGTTTAAAGAAGATCTAAACTTTATATAAGAAAAGAATGGAAACCATAAGTTCCAAGATCAACCTTCCAAAACCAAAGGAAGAAGACAAGAAAGTACTTACAGTTTCCTCAATTGGTACTGATGTGTCTATCCGGTGTATATAATAAAGGTCAATATATTCCACATCCAGACACTTCAGGCTAGCCTCACAACATGAACGGACATATTCAGGAGTACCCTTAACTACAAGATGAGTTGGCTCCATTCTGAAAATACCAAACTTAGTTGCCAGCTGGATGTTCTCTCGAGGCAACTGCTTCAGTGCCTGCAAAACTTTAGATATCTTTAATCACAATTGCAAGAATATCTCTCATAACCAACCACAACAAGTTACAACCAGTGTTTTAAAAGGCGTGGGAGGCATACGCCTGGAGGTGCACCTCCAGGCGAGGTGCTCCCAAAACGCCCTGAGGCGATGCCTCTTGCACTTTTTTCATGAGGCATGTTAGAGGCGTACGCCTCATGCGCCTCATGCACATCTGATATAAAAAGACAGAAAAAAAAAGAAAAAAGAAAAAAGAAAAAAAAGGAAAGGAAAGGAAAGGGAAGGGAAGGGAAAGAAAAAGAAAGAGGAGAAAAAATTGAGTTAGGGGGGTCTTGCTCCGCCTCGGTGAGCGAGCGAAGCGAGCTCACCTCTGCTTCGACAAGACCCCCCCTTTCAACTAATGTTATGCATCTTTATTCTTTTTAATATAAAAGATTTTTATTAAAAATAAAGAAAATATGAGATCCCCCCTTCCTCTTCATCCTCCTCCTAACCCCCCTCCTCTTAAGGAGGCTTATGCCTCCTTGTGTTCGGGAGGCTTATGCCTCTTGCGTTCTGAACTACGCCTCACACCTCTAGGTAGTGGAACGCCATGCGTCACGTCTCCGCGTTTTAAAACATTGGTTACAACTTACAACAAGAAAAACCACTAAAGTGAAGCTTTAGTTAATTGAGCCAAGTTATTTATACTGCAGAAATTTCTTGCCTAATTTCACATTTTGTTTGAAGAAAGGAAAAGTAAGAAGCTTCATCAACATCATGAATTAAAATGTGGTTTGCAGTTATGTGATAATTTTAACTGTATAAAGCCAATCTTTTAGAAACCTGAGGTGTTGAACCTTCAAACCTAACCTTAACTTAACACAACCTTCTTCCAATACACTTAACCCTAACCCTAACCTAACCTATTTGAATACAGACTCCTTTATTGATACTCATTTTCAAACTAGGACTTTTGTTTCTCATCACACTTCATACTTTCTCAATTCCATTGATTGCGGCATCACCATCACTTCTTTTGTTATGCCTTACTTTATTATCAAGACCTTAACCCTAGTAAAACCTAATTTTAAATCACACATTTACTAAATTCATACAATGTCCAACCCCAGCCCAACCCCATTTGGATCAGTTGGATTAAAGTTGATCCCAACCTATAGAGAAAACACATAGCACAATTTCCAGAAAAAAAAAAATTTGTCCTGCCCCTTTCCATTAACCAGTCAGAAAAGAATGTTAGCCTAGTGCTCAAACTATAAAGAATCACCTTACTTGAATTATACAAAACCAGCAAAGACATTTACCTTTCCTACTAGGACTTCATTGGCATTGGCTCCATAAACATCAGCTGTGTCAAAAAATGTGATTCCTTTACTAAAAGCATCCGTGATTATTGAAATACCAATCTCCTCAGAGACGGGAGCATTGTAGATTCCAGTTAGGCCCATACAGCCAAACCCCAACTTTGAGACCTATAAAAGAAAAATTAATTAGAAAAAAAAACATTTATTAAATACTTTCCACAGTGAGCAGGATAATTTCAAATCCCTCCCCCACAATACAAACGGAGCACAACAATCATTCCCCAAGAAATATTTGTATTAGAAAGTAAAATGCCCATGGTTGCAACTCTAAGGCCCCGTTCGTTTACCGGTAAATAAGTTTGGGAAAATTGATCAATGGATATCTTTTTCCCATTGACCAACTTTACAATGTTCTTTTTGCATTTACTAATGGGCCCTACAGTAAAATAAACTCCATTTACCTAGGTAAAACTTACCCATCTCTCAGGTAGGTAAGTAACTTTCCCACCTAGGGGGAATTTTATAAAGCATAATGGGACAACTTTGCCCATTTTTATATTAGCTTTCTATGGATAAAAATGTCATTTTGTTACTTACCTGGGAATCCTGGAAATCAAAATAACATGGGCAAGTGCACTTACCTAGGAAACATTTACCCTGGGTAAGTGCCCTTACCCAGGTAAGTTACAAAGATGCAAACGAACGAGGCCTAATTTAATTCTTCCATGTATTAAGTTTTCTCACACAAAACCTAGATTAGATTGGTTTTTCAATTTTCACCTTTAATTGTACCAATCCCCATGACCTCTATCATTTTAATCCTATTGTGTTTCCGCTTATGCCCCGTTCGCTTTTTGGTAAGTCACTTACCTAGGTAGGTAAGTGCATTTACCCATGTTCTTTTATTTCCCATGTAAATAAGACAATGACAATCTTAGCCATAAAAATTCCATTATTAAAAGGGGCATTTTTGTCTCATCCAAGTATTGGCAACTTTCCCCTAGATGGGAAAGTTAATTTACCCACCTAGGAGATGGGTAGCACTTACCCAGGTAAGTGATACCCAGGAAAATAAACTTTCACTGGTCCCCACATAAATCTGAAAAATGAACATGGGTTTCTTGGTCAATGGGAATCAAAATCCCATTGACCAACTTTCCCCCCTCTCAAAATCCAAAAAAAACACCCCTTAGTTATAAATGAGGAAAAAATGAAATTTCATAAATAGAAAAATTATTGCTGATAAGACAAAGACTATAAAAGAAAAGAGTAGCCACAATGATAAGCAAAGCCCTTCCTATCCCAGAATTTACAAATTATCTTTAGTCAAATTCATCTACCTAGGAATTCATTTTATCTGAGCTATCGTATTAGCCAAAATCTCATTTAAAAGGTGAGCTAGGCCCTAGAGTTATGCTTCCCACTGTTTTGACACAATCTTACTGCATTAACCATGTTTCTGCCAATTATCAATGAAGATAATCAAGATTGTCTAGCAACCTGAACCCCATTAGGACCCTCGCTTCTGCTTCTATCAAGTTCCCCATGGATCCAGTAGAAGCCAAAAAGTTTGACCATTCAGCTTAAGGAAGAACCTACCAACCATAGCAGGTGCTTAGTTCCCCTTAGAACTGCCATCAAATTGAAGTTTCAGCACCCCATTCAGTGGAAATGAGTAAATGCTCATAGGATCTCAAGAAAAAAGAACTTACCAACCCTAGATGGCACTCAGTTCCCCTTAGAACTGCCATCAACTGAAGTTTCATCACCCCATTCAGTGGGAAAAATAGCTGCTCATAGGATCTCAAGGAAAACAATGGAGGATCTAGATAAGTTTCTTCTTAGACCAGCAGCTGAGATGCCTTTAATTCCTCTGGAGTCCACCCATAAGCTAAGGAACAAGAGCACCCATACTTTCACAGGCTAAGAGTAGGCCTGGACATTATAAAAAATACACCTATTTTATTCTCCTCGCACCTCCAAATGAATGGATCTATTCATTGTTTAGAAGTATTTGAAATGAATAAAGTGATTTACTCAATCTAGACCGTTATGGTTCAATCATCAAATCTAATACTTTAATGATTCATACAAAATTTGACTAATTCATAGCATGAAATTTGGCCATATAGCTTCTATCACCCCTTAATTCTTGCATGTAAGAGCTTTTCTTTCCGTTTCTGTTTTTTACCTTTCTGCCCAAATAATTGTTTTTCACTTACAGCACAGCACATGGAAGAGTTGTCTAAGTTATCAAATCCCTTACTCTAAGAGGCACAACCCAACAATAGCTATAGCCCAGTTAAACAGTTTGTGCCTCAAAATCCAAAATTTAGTGCCCAATAGGGAGGGCTTTCACGTAGCAGCTTCTGGCTTTACAAGGTGAGCTCCACTCAGACAGACCATAAGCAATGTTTGGCCAGAAACACGGAGAGACAAAAAATAGTATCTTACAGCCGAAAATATGGCTTTCGACTTAAGCTTCTTTTAGTGGCTTCTCTAAAGCAGCTCAGAGAAAACAGCTTAATCAAAGCTTCAGTGCTCCCAAACGGGCCATTAGACCCTTCGGTTATCAAATGGCATGTAGAAAACACATACTTACACCCTGATCAAACCTCACTTTAGTGGGAGAAAGAGAACAAGAAAAACCAAGAATCTTTATAGACTTGAAAGTGTCACCATATTCAAATTTCAAGATGTTTCCGCTCTTCAGGTAATATTTGGAGGAAGTCATTGCTTATAAAACAAAAGCTCAGTTAACTTTACAATGGACAGAAAAAGATAAATGTTTCTATAAAATTTCAAGACAACAGAAACATACAAGTGAATTTCAAGGATGTCATTAATCCATAAATGATTATACAAGAATTCCAATGAAACTCAGGAAAATTGTCTAAAAGTCATACACACCATGGAGGCATCTTTAAAAATCTGCAAAGGAAACATTCTGCAATGCCAATAAAGTCAGAAATCAGGTTGGCTTAAAAAAACTGCAGAGACAGCTGCCTCATCCAAGATGGCAAAATATTGCGCTTCATCACCAATTTTTCAACTTTACATGCTTAAAATGACTCAGCCATAGTTTCTCACTTAAATAGGTAAGGTTTCATAAAGATTGAAATTTGTCTCGCACCTAGAAAATGGTATTTCTTCATTTAGCCCCATTGGAACTTCCGTAAGGGAAACATGTAACTCATGAAATAGCTCTATAGCCTAAAGATAATTGAATGCCATCAATCTCAAAGTCCAATGCATTGATGAATTACAGGATTTACCAGCATTGGTGATTTACAGAGCTGATAACATAACAATAAGAATAATCCAACTGGCATTTATTTCTTCTCTATTAATAATTGAAAAAAAAAAAGAAAACATTTCAAGTTTAACCAAATCAGTCGGAGGATAAATAAACAGTGAGAGCACATTGCCCTCTCTATCAAACTACACCCTCTGCAGAAAATGAATATGACAAAAAAGAAGAAACTTAATTTTTCTTGGAGATTCTCAAATGGGTAATCGAGGAATTAAATAGGGCTTTACCTCAAGTCCTAGATTTCCCAGTTTCACTCTGGGAATTTCGACCTTGTGTTCTCCCGCCATCTTTCTGATCTTAATCTATCTGCGACTCGGAGCTGAAGGTGAGTTGGGTGAATTCGGCCGATCACGTAAAAGAAATAGCTGAACAGAGTGAACAAGCGGGAGAGTGGAGACTGCTAAAACAGCGAAGCGAAAAAGAAAAACGCGACAGAGATTTTTTAGGTAGTTGTCCATTTTCATTTTTCCACGTGGCACCACCAACCACCTACCTCATTTAGTTGACTTTCGATCACTGCTATTATAAAAGAGAATACGGTCCGATTCACGGTGGATGTTGAAGCCACTTCATCGATCTACAAAAAAAATCCGAAAACAAGAGGCGTGGTCTTATCATCCACCGTGAATCGGGCCGTTTTCTACCTAACCAGTAAGATAGTAACCAACCTCCTTTCTTGGAAGTCTGGAAGCTGATAGAAAAAGCAACCCAATCCGCAATCACCTACCCATTGCAGTCTTATTTTTTACGCTAGGTATATAATATAGGGAAAAATTCGATTTTATTACCCTGAAATTTTGGGGTAGTTTGAAGTTTGTACCCGAATTTTAAAATGTATCAATACAGTATCTAAATTTTAAAAAAGTGTTAAGTTGATCCCTGTAAAAATTATCATTCAAAAGAAGACACTATTGTTGATCCCTATCAAAATTATCATTCAAAAGAAGACATTATTCATTGTCTTCTACCTTAAGAAACCGGTTGAGGTGTTTGAGATTCTAGACTAGTTATTTCTAAACTAAATCAGTTGGAGTAATTGTCTTCTACCTTTAGATCTGAAACACATTCTTATCTAGTTATTTCTTTGCTTTCAGTTATTGTTTCCCTCTATTATTTCATGTTTTTTTCTCTCTTTTTCTTTGAAAATAACTTGTTCAGTCTCAAGGTAGAAGATAATGATCAGTGTCTTCTTCTGAAGGGTAGTTATGACATTTTCAATAGATAATTGATGACCGGTTAACGATAGGGACCAATTTGACACATTTTGAAAGTTTAGGTACTGCAATGACACATTTGAAAGTTCATATACCAACTTGACACTACCCCCAAAGTTCAGGATATTAAAATGGAGTTTTCTCTACCTTGCATTCTTTATTTTAATGACTTATTTCCTTTTGCTCCTATGAACACTGAGTTTTTTATAGCAAAAAAGAGAAAATTCCTTAAAATAAGGAATGCCAAATGCAGCCTTAATATTGATTACCGTAGAATTGCCAATGGATAGTCAGTTTTGGTTCTATGATTTACTGTTTGTGTCTTCATTAATAATTTGATTGAGACCGATCTTTATTGTTTAGAATCCGTTAAGATTCAAACTAATTATGTAATTAATGATATATAAAAAGTCTCGTGATTTTCTTATAAATTTTGTTATATTTTATGTCTAAAAGTAAATTTGATAAGCACACTCTCTCTCTCTATATATCTATCTATCTATCTATATATCCACGTTATCATGCCTCTCCTTGCTCCAAACCTATTGGATCATAATTTGATCTGAGATCTGATCCTATTTAGTCGAATTTGGATCACCCCTGGTTGGATCTTCATATTAGATCTTATGATCCAATAAGAAATTGGATCGGATTCGGATCAACTCCCTATTCGATCCAAGAAGATGCGATCCAATATGTTATATATTTATAAATATAAATATATAATACATATATATCTTAATTATTTATTTATAAATATATTATTTATATTGTATTTTTATAAATTTGTTATATTATTTATTTTTTTATAAAAAACATGTATGTATGATGAAAATAATTAAAAAATACTTTTAATAATTTATTAATTCTTAAAGAAAACAAGTCGGATCAAATCAGATATGAAGATTCGATAGGATTCAAATTTAGGTCGAGTCCTATCAGATCCAATCATATCTTTGAATCAGATCGGATCCGACATGAACAGTGTCGGATCGGATTCGAATACACCCTGATTTGAGTTCGTTCCAATAAGTTTGCATCCATATCCAAACCCCCTTTCTAATTTCCTTTTTTTTGAATTTTATATTTTTTAATTCCATATAATTTCCCATTAAACCTATAAGAAAATAACATAGGCTTAACTATTTATAACAACCACAAAAGAAAGAGGGATTTGCTTTTCTAAAGTTTAGCCAAGTGGCTTCACTTCCCCCACTTTCTCCCAAATTGTCTCTAATTCTTATTTATCTCTAATTCTTAAATTCTCTCCTAAACTATCTCTAATTTCTATTCACTTTTTATCCACATCTATCTAAATAAAGTTTCAATTAAAAAATTTCACAATTATTTAAATATTATAACAAAATTATATACTAACTTTAAAATATTTATTCAAAATATAAAATAAATTATAATAGTTTTGATAATATTCTTATTATTAATAATTCTATATTTTTACAAATTTCATCATGAAATTATGTAGTAACAATATAAATCATAATTTTACAAATTATTCAATTTAAATGTTAATCAAATAACAAAAATTTAATATTAAAAAATACAAAGATATTTAAATATTTCAATAAATAAATATCTTAAGTAAAAAATTAAAAATAGCTAAATAATTATATAACAAAATCTTAAAAGTAGAAAAATAATTATAATAGATTTCATAATATTTGTATTAATAATAATTTAATATTTTACAAAATTAAAAATTTCAATAAATAATTAATATTTTAAAATTTAAATAACAATTATTTAAATAACTAAATAATATTTTAAATAACTAATTTCACCTATATCAATTAATAATTATAGAAAATAACTTTCAAAAAAATAAAATTTATTAGTAATAGTTTTACAATAAAAGTGTATATTCAATATATATTTATATATACACTAAATTAATATTTATTTTATATTCAGTGATTATATATTATTTTTTGATAAATATGTTTTCAATAATTATTTATAAATCTTTTTTTTTGTTTAACAAAAATTTTTCAATAATTATTGGAGATTAAAAAAATATTATTTAGCTTTTGAAATTTAATTTATCATATTTATTGTAATTTTATAAATTTATTTTTAGTAATTATGCATTTTTATAATTTATTTTTTAATATTTATTAGAGATTAAACTATTATTTGAGATTACACTATTTATTGACTAATTTAATATATTTTTTAGTATTTATTGCATTTTAATTATTCGTATATTTTCAATAGTTGTGAATTTTTGCTATAAATTTTCAATAATTATTGGAGATTAAACCATTTTTATTTATTTGAGATTAGACTATTAATTTAGCTAAAATTATGAGTGTTCACGGGTTGGTTCGGTTCGGTTGTAGGCTGTTTGGCCAACCAAATTAATCTGGTAAGGTTGGAAAGTTGGTCACTCAAAATCAACTAGCCGTTAGTGAAAACCGGTTAACTCGGGTTGTATCATTTTGGGTCAATTTTCGGTTTGGTCGGTTGGTTCAAAAGATTTAAATTTAAAAAATTACAGTGGAATTATTAAAAAATAAAAAATTAAATTTATGATATAAAATATTTTAAACTAAGAAATATTGGAATTTTTCCACTTTCATATATTAAAAGATATATATTAAAAATATAATATATATATATATATATATATGGTCAGGTCGTTCAATTTTGGTCAATTTACAAATGGCCAAAGTGGAATTGATCCAACCTCGTTGGGTTGGGGAATTGTTGAACCAAAGCTAATTGGAAATACTAGAAAATCGATCAACTCAAGTCGAGTTGGTTGGGTTGGTTAGTTTCATCAGTTTGATGAACAACACTAGCTGAAATTAATTATTGTTATTTTTGTATTGTATAAATATTATTAAAAGTAGTATATAAAAGATAAGATAAAATCTATGATGTGGGAAAGATATGGTATCAGAAGAGTTTTGACCAATCAAAATCCACTCATGAATTTTGGTAAATAACACTTGATTGGCTACCATATTAGTTGATTGATCAAAAAATTTTCAGATACCATATCTTTATCATATTATAGTCAAACCCAAAATATAAATAATTATTAATTATTTAAAAAGTTAAAAATATAAAACAATTGTATACTCTTATGTGTTTCTATTGTTTAGCTTTCGCTTAACAAATCCTGTGCACTGCACGGGTCCCCACTAGTATCTCTCTCTCTCTCTCTCTCTCTCTATATATATATATATATGGTCCACCTCACCATGCCTCTCCTTGCTCAATTACCTCCACCATGCATTCTCCTTGACTATCTCTTCTCTCCCCTTCCCACCACTCCTATTAACCAAACTCATCACCCTCTATCTTCATTTCCTAATTAGCTCAATATATTTTACCTAAAACTCTCTCTCTCTCTCTCACTCTCTCTCTCTATACAACGCATGTTTCACACTCTCTCTACCCAAATAACTACTCTCCTTTATTATCTCAACTCATATCTTTCTCTCTCTCTTCATTCCTATCCTATTGAGACATCTCCTTGATAAAAACATTACTAAAATCTCTCTCCTTAATAAAAACATTACTAAAATCTCTCTCCTTAATAAAATCATTACTAAAATCTCTATTTATCCCCACTCTCCTAAACCTCTCCACACTCCTAATTTATTGTTCTTAAGACGAGTCCGGATTTCCTACGCATCCTGACTTGCACATTTTCCTACACATCCTATCATAGTGTGCCAGGTCAGCCTCATACTATTAAATTCTTACACATGCGAACTGATTAACGGATGTTGGGAGAACTTCCATTTCTTTGCTTTTTATTTTTTTAAATATTAAAAACATTAAAACAGAAAAAAAAGAAAAAACCTTTTCTCCTTCACTAATGGTTATACTAATGGTTATGAGGATGATTTCTCTAATCTCTCTTTCTACAATGGAGGAGAAACAATGTAAAACCTGTTTCTAATATGCAACAAAAGGCAAACAATAAAATTTGTTGTTTATTTACATCATTACATGTTTCCTTTCTTCATTTACCTCTACAACAGGAGAAGTAATGAGATCACAGATGCATTTTTGTGCAAAATACTTTGAAGGGTGTCTCCACTGGTGGAAACAAAATCTAGCCTGAACTTTCTAAGCAACCACAACAGAGAGAGCCTCTCATCATGTGGTTTAACTTTATGCTTGGTTTGGATTTGGTCAGGGCTTCTATATTTGGGCAAGACTCTCTCTCTCTCTCTCTCC